TGGACAAATAGAGAAAATTTCCCTTACATGCCCTGACTGGCTCATTGCTCATGGACAATCTAACATGAGGCCATGTGAGCAATGGAGGCCAAAGTGTGCAAGGGCAAACACAAGCACACTCCTGCATGGTGTTGCCTGCTTTAATTCCACAGGGAATTCCAACGTCATGTGGTTTTCATTGTAAATTCTGCCTTCTTGAATGCTATTTCCTCCCTTTTGGCTTTCGCCATGTCCCAAGAATCTCTAGCAAATAAAAAATGCAAATGTCCAGTGGAGCCCTGGACACTTGCCTGTCCTGTGTCTAAATAATCTGAGCCTGAAGTTAATGAGCTCATTCAGTTCATTACCAAGTCAAGGTCAGAATGTCAATGGTCATAACTTCCTTATTAAATATCTTCACTGTGATGAGCTGAGCTGATATCTTCCCTTTTTGTTCTTTTCTCAGAGAATCTACAGCGGTGATCAGTCTATAAAAATAAACCTCAACACAACGGCTGTGCTAGCCTTAGGTGACTAGGACAAGTGCTAAGATGATGATCAGCCTTGGGTTAGAATTAGTACTGAGATGATCAGCCTTGGGTTAGAACAAGTGTTGAGATGATCAGCCTTGGGTTACTAGAATGAGTACTGAGATAAACAGCATCTCAAGAGGGAAAGCTAACTTGCAGCTCAGAGCTTTGAAGGTTTCTGTCCATGGAAGAAGAACCTAGCACTTTAGACCTTGACTGGGAAGCAGTACACCATGATGGCAGCTCACTGGCAGTGAGGCAGTCACCTTCCTGCTGGGGCATACAAGAGAAAGAGGCAGAAACAGGGGTCCCACAATCATTTTCGCCCTTCAGTGACCCAAAGGCCTCCCACTAGGCTCACTAAAGTCTATCATCCCACAACAACACCATACTCGGAATCAAGTCTTAACACTTGACTCTGGAGGACACTTACAATCCAAAGTACAAGCAACATCCAAGTCTCCCACTCACCTCCCTAGAGATTCTCCATCCCCTGACTATAGGCCCTCTCAGCATGACACCAAGGGTGCCTAAATAGAGCCATCTGCTTCTGGATTCTATTACCAACCAGGTAAACCACATGCAGACCTAATGTGACCACAACTCTAAAAAGGAATTCTACTTTTGTCGTGTGACCCCCCAGAACCAATATTTTGCTCTTTCTGTGACTTATAGCCTTGGCAGTGCTGCAGGGTTGGAGGGACAACTCAGTGGTTAAGAGCAGTGGCAACTCTTCTAGAAGACTCAGGTTCAATTCCCAGTACCCACATGACAGCTCACAACCATTCATAATCACAGTTCCAGGGGATCCAACACTCTTCTGGCCTCTGCAAGCACCAGGCATCCATGTGGTGCTTAAACATACATGTAGGCCAAACACCCATTCACATAAAATAATAATAGCAATGTTTTTGTTGTTTTTACAGGCTTGCCATGTTGGATGGACAGAAAAGATGTACAGTGAGCTGAAAACACTGCTTGTAAAGCCTTCAGCCAACCCTGTAAAAGCTGGGCCTTGGGACTATGAGGCACACACCTGCTAGTTACCAGTTTAGAAGATGATCGGGATTTAATTTTCAACAGAACTACCCAATTACACACATTCCTTGCGCCCTGATTATGGATGTAGGATCATTAGAATTTAATCACTAACATGGAATTCAGCTCTTCTTTGTAACTGCAATACATCATGCAGCCCCTCTCCCCATGAACTTCATAGGCCGGTTTCAAAGATTCTCAGAAATGTGGATTATGATTTGCAAGAGCCAACAATACAGGAGCTTTCACTGTACTAGCCTTTATTTTGTATGCATCTTCCTTATTTTGCTTTTGAGTTAAGTGTATACAAGTTAAATCTCAGCCAAAGATTCATATAACTAAATCATAATAGCATTTTATCACATGAATTATGTGATACATCTCTTTGTATGTTTTCATATAAATGTTCCAGAAAACAATGTGAAAAACTTATTGAATTCAATTTCTTATTGTGTAATAATAGTATGAAGGCTTTTTTTAAAAATCTGCATTCCTTTCATGTTTCTCTACTTTCTAAAACTAATTTTTTCACTCAGAAACTATGTTTTGTTTTGTTGTTTTTATCATGTGTGGTACCTCTGGAAATGGGCAATGCACAGGAAACATCAAGGTGAACAGGAGAGAAATTTCTGTTGGTGAGTCATGCTACAGTGGCAGTGATGTAAGAGACACAAGAAACCTGTCACCAGGACTTTGTGAGTATCCAGATGGGTTGGGAGGGGTAAGGAGAAGGAGAGATTAAAAACAACCTGTGCTTTGGAAATGGCAGGAAGGTATCGGGTACCATCCCAAAAGATAGGAAAAGCATAAAAAAGAACAAAGATGGGGTGAAGGACTGTGATGGCTTGCATAAGAATTACCCCCATAGGCTCATTGTCACCAGGGTGTGATATTATTTTGAAGGATTAGGAGGTGTGGCCTTGTTAGAGGAAGTGTGTCACTAGGGGTAGGCTTTGAGGTTTCAAAAAGCCCATTTCAAGCCCAGAGTCTCTCTCTTCATGCTGCCTGAAGATCCAGATGTAGAACTCTCAACTACTTCTTCAGCACCATGACTGCCTGCATGCTGCCACACTTCCCACCATGACAATGAACTAAACCTCTGAACCTGTAAGCGTGCTTCAATGAAACTTTTTTCCTTCATAAGAGTTGCCGTGGTTATGGTGTCTCTTCACAGTAATAGGAACCCTCACTAAGACAGTTCCTTAACCCAAGGCATGCATGTGTGACAAGTCCATAGTCAACAGTATCTAAATAGAGAAAAACTGAGAGCAATCCCTTTAGAATCGTGAGGCAGGGATTTCTATCCTGACTCCTTTTCAACACAGTGTTAAAAGCAGTACTCATAGCAATAAGGCACATTATGGAAGAGAAAGAAGAAAGACTGTAAGAGTCGGAATATCAGGAGGTCTGCCATATAGCTGCCTTTTTCAGAAAGTTCTGTATAAACAAATCCTGAACAATAAAAATACCAATAGACATATTGGAAAAGAGGAATTCTCGTGGAGTCCCATTCCTAGATGAATAACTACAGGCCATTAATGATCGATGAGAGTGGGAGAAAAAGCCCCTCCCTGGGTGAATCTCCATTGGTTATCCAGTACATACTAGTCAGCTCTGTAACATACAAACAACACAAATTGATCTAGGAGGTTGTATTCATATATTAGTTCATGTGTGTGTATATAAAATAATAATAATTAAAGACAAAGAGGTTATCAATTTGAGTTAAAAGGAGGGAGAAGACAAGGATAGGATGGGGGAGAAGAAAGGGAAGGTATAGAAGTCATTAAATTATAACTTAGCTAAAAATTTAAAAAAGAACCTACATCTACAATTACCTGATTGGAACTTGCTTATAAATAAATAAAACATTCCCCCAAATTCAGCATTGTAATGTCTCCAAATAACTATTATTTTCTGGTAAGTTATCTAATTGCTTGGTGGTATAATGGGATGATTTGGCCATGGGCATGGTTACCAGGTGTTTTGAAGGGTCTACACTTGGCTGTACATTGTGCTTTGATCTTGAAAGGTGGAGGTCTTTTGCCTTGCCCTTTGGCATTGTATAAAAAGTCCTTTGAATAAACCTCAAGGAGGCTGGGTATAGACCCAGAGCCCTCCCGAAGCTATCCTGTGTCTCTGTCTTTCTTATCATTTCCTATATTTCTATCTAATACTTCCTCATTCATCTCTCCTCCCACCAAGAACCCTTTGACAGGTCAGAACTGGACTCTGACAATGTACCTCAGACTGTCTACAAACCTGTCATCCTCCTGCCTCAGCCTTTAGAATGCTGGGATTCCAGGTATGCACCACAACACCTGGCTGTGCTGAGATGGTTAATTTCTTATTTGAATATTCATTGTTTGGAAATAGAAATGCAGCTGGTTTCATGTGTTAATTTTGTCTCACGTGTATCTGATGATGTTTAAATTCTAATAGATACTGGTGGACTCTAGCAATTTCTTTATGCTTTACTGAATGTAAACAGGCCATCATATCTCCTTTCTGATTCAGATGGCTTTTATAGACACCCATTCTTTTTTTTAGTCTTCATGGAAAATCTATCAGCTTTTTATTGTGTAATATGTTGTTAATTTGGGGTTTTCTTTTCAGGTATGGTCTTCATTTTGTTGAGGTAACTTCTGTCTATATATTTACTGAGCATTTTTATCATGACAAGTTGCCGGATTCTGTCAAATATTGTTTTACATTTATTGAGACAATCACTAGGTGTTTTCCTGCATTCTGTTGAAGTAGCATATCACATCAATTTGTGGTTATTAACCATCCTTGATTAATTTTTTTCTATTGTTTTTCTATGTGCTATCTTTTACCTTCATCTTCATTATTTCATTCCTCTTTCTAAAATGTTGGTTTTAGTTTCTTTCTTTTTTAGTATCTTGAGATACAGGGTTGGTTTGAGACGTTTCCTTTCTCATAGTATAGGCTTGTATCACTGTAAACATCTCTCACAGAATTGTCATGACATTTACCAGAAGCTCAGTGAGGTTTCTCTCACACTGTACATAATATTGTACATTCTGCATCATTCAAACTAGATTTACAAGTCAGCAAAGTTTGTTGGCAATTTAGCATTTGGCAGGTTATTAATGCCAACAATGCCTAGGGTTATGATTCTCCTGAAATGATACTTTAGTTTATGAATAGAGTTAGTTAATACAGCATTCCTATACTCAAATACTGTGCTAACTGACACTTTTACATTTTGGCACATGGTAATAATTAGTAATATAAATAAGAGTTTGCAGCAAGACCCTTAAGTGTTCCATGGCCAACAACAAAATAAAATGTCTGACATTAATCTGTTGAATACAATTTTATTGAATTTAGATTCTCCAAACATATAAATATTTATATATGTGTGTATATGTAGTCATGCATATATATATATTTATATAGTACATGTGTATAATAAATGAACAATATGATTTACTTCAATCTTGAAATTTCTTTATTATCATTTTGACACATAACGAATCTCTTGATCAAAATATTTTTTAAAAATTACAATAGACATTGTCCCCAAAAGAGTTAGCTTTTTACTGAATATATAATTGAGCTCAGTTATAGAAATCACAAATAGGTAGGAAAATTTGTCCTTAAATTTTTCAAAAATCATTCAAATACATCCATTCTTATCAAATTCTTCCATCCAGGCAGTTGAAATGTGTGCCTGGGATAATTTGGTCACATGGTTTCTAAGAAGTTTGAAGAATTAACATAATTTGGTTTTTTGGAAAACCCGTGTCTTGTGAAACTGTAAATTATCTTCATTGCTAAAGCCAGTCTTAATTAAATGTATAACCACTTGTAGCTGAAATAGCAGATGTGTAGCAAAGCCAGTATTTTCTCGGTTCATTCTGGGGAGAGTTTGTGCTTGAGAGCATTTCTGTGTATGCCTTAGTGCTAACTAATACATGATATGCTTTAGCCAGCAAGACCGCGGTGGGAAACAATTCTCAGTGCATCCTGGCTCGTCGTTCTCTTGCCATGAACATTTATAAATTTGGCATCCATGGCTGACTGTGAATCCAGAAACGGTACAAGCACTTGATGAAATTTTCTGAATTACAGAATTAAGGTTTAATTCAGAGACCCCACATTTAACCTATTGAATTAGGCCTCTTTTGCCTTAGCATGAAAGTTAGAAATAAAACAGTTTAGCTGTTCTGTTGTCTCTTAAGACCAATGTGAAACATTTGGAGAAGGCCAAAAAGCTTAGAGAAAAAATTTTTTACATTTTCCCTACAAAATGAAAAGCCTCTACAAGGCAGAAAATGTTGATTTGTTGATGCTCTATAGCCACAGGCTCAGGTGATGTTCTTCAATATTTGCCTGTACAGTCTGGTGCCATCCTTGAAGGGTTCACAACATGCCCCCACGGTCGGGCGTGTTTGCATATGCCTGGTGAACACTTCCGCCTAGCCAGTTCCAGGTCAGGATAGCCAGTTCCAGGTCAGGGCGTCTCGCGTGACCAGGATGCCTGGCGGACCTGGACACTTCCATCTAGTCAGTTCCAGGTCAAGACAGCCATTTCCAGGTCAAGGCATCTCATGTGACCAGGATCCGTGATGTTGCATGGTTACATAAGAGCACTCAGCGTAGCCATGTGATCTGCGCAGACGTGGAACGGTTACCTCGACCTGTGTACGCATGTACACCACCCAGCCTTTAAAAGCCGGCGCCATGCTTCCGGCTCTTCCTTCTTCTCCACATACATGTTTCCTACAGGCCTGAGCACTCTCTGTCCCTTTTATCTTTAATAAAACTCTTATTAGCGGATTCTGTTGTGTTTTGTGACATTTCCTTGCAGGGTAAGAGCACAGCACCGAAAAATAACTAACAATCCTCAGCAAGACTGTCACTTTGTCTGGAGCCAATGTCTATAACATAAAATATTTGCTCCTTAGATTTCTACTTTTATGATAAAGACCATGACTAAAAACAGCCTAGGATGAATTAAAAGGATTTGTTTTAATTTACAGTTTTAGATAACAGTCCAGCCTGAGGGGAAGTTAGAACAGGAACTCAAGGCAGGAATCCAGAGGCAGGAACTGAAGCAGAGACCATGGAGGGGTGCCGCTTACAAGGTTTTCCTCCATGACTTCCTTAGCCTGTTTTCTTATACCACCCAGGACCACCTGCCCAGAGGTGGCACAGTCCACAGTGAGCTGGGCCCTCTGACAATGATCATTAACCAAGAAAATATCCTGCAGACTCACTGACAGGCCAATCTGAGTGTCCAAGTGCCACGGGAGTTCTTGTAATTTCAGCACTAGAAAGGCTGAGGTAATGGGTTTGCAGGTCTGCCAGGCTGGCAAGACTGTCACAATAAAGAGAAAAAGAGGAGAAAAGAGAAGGGTATTGAAGGCCTCCTTCTGATGGTGTGATGCTTTCCAACAAAAATACAACAGGAGTCAAATATGGAATTTTAAGTCATTCAGTTAGCATATTTGAGAAACTAAAAGAAATTAATTAGTTGTAACCCTATTAGTTTCTTAATAACATGGTTTATTTTTAATGATTTATTTCACTTTTAATTATATATATATATATATTTAATTTTATATATATGTGTGTGTGTGTGTGTGTGTGTGTGTGTGTGTGTGTGTGTGTGTGTAAGTATATTCATGTGAGTGTGGGGTGCCCTATGATATGCAAGAGCCACAAGCAGTTGTGAGCCACCAGACATGGGTAATGGGAACCAAGCTCAGGTCCTCTGGAAGAGCAGTATGTGCTCTTAACCAATGAGCCATCTTCCCAGCCCCTTAATCCGAATCTTATAACCTAATACATACAAATCCTGTTATTTCAAACTGCAACCAATATTTTACAAGTTGACACATTTTCTTTCTTCTTTTTAGCATTATGTCTTGCAAACCCAAGTGTGCTTTGTATCTATGGCACTTTTCAGTTGTAGCCACATTTCAAGCCCTCAGCAGTCACTTGAGTCTTATGGGCCCCATACCAAACAATGCAACCATCGGGAGTCTTCAGAAACTTGTGGGCAAAATCTAACACAGAAAAGAAAAGCCCCTGGCAGGAAGCCAACTCTCCTTGAGTAGGTAAGGGGGGGGTGGTAACAGCAAGCTCCTGAAAATTACCCCAGCTCAGGCCTACCTTAAGCCTAAGGTCTGTGGACAGCTTCTGACCTGCTCATGGGCATGCTTGTGAATGTTTTGAAATTTCTCTCATTTACCTACAAAACAAATAAACCAAATTAGTCGTGAAGCCAACAGCCTATAACCCCAAACACCCAAGGCTCCAGTGGGAACAAAGGAAATTGGCCATATATATCCTCAGAGCTGCCAAAGCATTTTATGGTCCAGCTGTGAACCTTAGCACCTTGGGTCTGCCGGGAACACACGGACCAGTGACAAGCCTGGCCTTGGAAGAAGAAGCATTGGGGGCGATTTATTGTCTTCCAGTTGTTTTCGAAAATCAATGGAGCCTCATTAGGGGAAGGAAGAGGCTGGACTCTCCTCTAGCCCCTTTTATCTTCCTTGCTGTTTGGACAGGTGCAAAGGGTAGAATTAGCTGGTGTATTTACAGAATCTTGAGAGTGGAGCAAACTAACGCGGATTTGACCTTTAAAGCCAATGAACGAAGAAAGAGAAGCTTAGCTCTGGGGACACTAAAAAGCACATATTTCACTGTTTTCTTCACCTGGAGAAGGTTTCACGGTATTTGAAATCTGACATTTTTCACAGAAGGTGCCTCGGGTCTGGTCCTCACTGCCCTTCACACCAATTTCTACAATGGCCTCTGAATTTACTTTTTAACCTTCCCATCAGTCCATCATTAGTGGGTCCAGCATGGCCTGCATCTAGTACACCTCCAACTCACATCATGGCTAGCAAATGAGAGTACAAAATTTGTCCATTTCAAGACTCACATCTCTCTGTCTCTCTCTGTCTCTGTCTCTGTCTCTCTCAGGGAGAAACCCGCAGGGCAGGTAAGGCACAAGAACAAACAAGTGGCGAGAGCTAGAACTGAGCTTCAATCCTAGGCAGACTCAGTCTTAGTCCGTGAACACGAGCGGTCTCAGAATCACTGTGGCACACGTCACTCTGCATAAGGCTGTGAAAACAGTGCATACCCCTTAAACACACCGCCCACCAACGAGTAACAAGAAACCAAATGCCTAGACATTTCAATGGCTCTTTAGCTTAGAACTTGCATACCTGCTAAGTCGAAACATGAAAAGGCCCAGCTTGTGAAAGTGTTCTGCAATAGTTCCCCATAGCCTTGAAAGTCAAGTCATACATCTGTATCAAGACCCACCCAAACAGCCTCTTGGTTTTCACAAAACCTTGCCCTTGGACTCCTTCAAACACTTCTTCTGTTTGAAATGCTGTATCTCTGTAATTGTAGGGGCTATAGACACAGCATAGTGGTTAAGAGCATTGTTGCCCTTGCAGAGGACCCAGGTCAATTCTTAGCACCCTCTTGGTGGCTTATAACTGTCTGTAATTCCAGTTCCAGAGGCTCCAATGCATCTCTTCTGGCCCCAACCACCAGGCATACATGTAGTACACATGCAGATAAAACATCCATACACATAAAATAAAAATGGTTTTAAAAGCACTTTTAAGATCTATCATAGATGTCTTCATTTACCCCAGATAGAATTGATCTTTGTTTTGTCAGGGTTCTCAAAAGAACCCTTAGTGACATTACAGAGTCACTTACACGGTACACAGTGGCCAAGTTTTACACACGTACTTATCTTCAGGGATGCTAAGTTCCTGAAGGGTCAGAGAGGGAGAGTGCTGTGGGCAGACGGACATACCTGGTCTGGAAGCTCTCATTCCCCTCTTCACTATTTGACTATGGCCAAATCAGTGATTCCCCGCTCCAGTCCTGCTAGTTCCTTTGTGTTCAAAACACATAACAATGATGAAAGTTGGGCACCCTTCTTGGGTGGCTAGAAAAAGCAAAAGGAACAGTAAACAGTGAAGCCGCCAGCGTGGAGCTGCTCTTCTTCATCCCTACAGTCCTCCTACTGCTTAGCTCATGCCCCACAGCAAAGCACATCTTGGAGCAGAAAAAAAAAAAATGGTATTAGCTAAGTAAAGGGTGGTAAAGGCTCCCATTGTGGCCAATTCTCTCCCTTTGCTCACTCGCCCAATTGCAAGTGTTCGTTTCTGTGGTAGAGCTTGCCAAAGGCTGGAGACTCAACTAAACAATGTGGAGACTTTGCATCAGTAAAACTGGCCGGAGCAGATCAGGCTTTGCTGGGAAGTCAAAATCATTCCTGCATCCCTCGCATATTCTTTCTCTCGGGACTTTATTAGGTTGGGAGAAGGATAAGTAAGGATACAAAAGCTGGACTGCCAGAAAAGCTCAGGACTCCCAGCGTGCACTTTCCAGGATTCCAAAAGGAAGCTTTGACATAATCCATAGCAGAAAAAAGAAAATCACATCTCTCTTGGAAACCAAATTCTTGGGAACAGCTACCACTTGATTTATGTCATTCATTTTTCTCTAAAGTGCTTAATTTTATGCCGATTTCAATGTATTATGGTAAATTAGTTTTTAAGATGACAGTAAGAAGGTTTGGATTTGAAGCTGCACTTGTGAGGTATCACAATTTGATTTGCCCCTCCAGAATGAAGGTGCTGAGACTTCTATGTTCAATATGATGGGGTGTGAGGGCAGTACAGTACAGTACAGCCTCTCTCCTTTGAATAGAACAAGGTGCCTTGTAGACAGGAAGAAGATGAAAGAAGTTAATTCTTTCTGATCCTCTGCCTATGAGGATACCGGGTTCTTGTTCTCTCAGGACACATCCCCAAGGTGCCAAAAATAACCCTTACCCACCAAGCCTACCTGTGTGTTGGTTATGATTCTCTGAGTCTATAGAACTGTGAGAAAATACGTTGTTCATAACCTATGTAGCCTCAGGTATTCTGTTATAGCAGCACAAATGAACAGTACCTTTCTTAAAAGTAGTTCATATAAACCCACAACTGAAGCCTAGCTGTTTTTTATTAAGTTGCAATCAATGTATTGACTTGGGCCTCTGAAGCGCGATCCTAATTAGAATCTTTTTTTTTGGGGGGGGGGGGGGTTCAAGACAGGGTTTCTCTGTGTAGTTTTGGTGCCTGTCCTGGATCTCACTCTGTAGACCTGTAGACCAGGCTGGCCTCGAACTCACAGAGATCTGCCTAGCTCTGCCTCCTGAGTGCTGGGATTAAAGGTGTGTGCCACCGCTGCCTGGCTTCCTAATTAGTCTTAACAATAAAAACCCAGAGTCAGATATTAAAGGTGAAAGCTGAAAGATCAGAGAAGCAGAGCAGCAGCCACTAGCGACTTCTTATCTCTAAGAATCCTCAGACCAAATGGGGGCCAAGATCCTGTCTCTACCCGTCTTAGATTCTTAGATTCTCTCCATCTCCCTAGCGCTGGGATTAAAGGCATGTACCTGTACCACCACCACCACCACCCCTTCACCAACCTCCTCCTACCCCCTGCTCTGTTTTTCTTTTAGATTGGTTCAATCTTGTATAGCCCAGGGTGGCCTTGAACTCCAGATCTTCCTGCTTCTTCCTCACAAATGCTGGGATTAAAGGTGTGTACAACCACTGCCTGGCCTCTATGGTTAACTAATGGCTAGCTCCACCCTCTGATCTCCAGGCAAACTTTATTTGTCAAAAACACAAACAAAATATCATACGACAGGCCTCCTCACATATGTACTATGTAATACTTGTATATACATAGAGACACAGAGTCTCATATTACTCTTATCAATTCTTTCTAATATAACTGCCTATGAACCATCAAAAGTTTAAGTAAGAGCTAAAAGACATAGACACACCACCAGTTGATTCAATGGTCATTTTAAAAGAGAAAGCAAACATAAAAATTCATTTGGCAACTTGGATTTCATCCATTATAAATGGTTCCATTTTATTTTAGGATGAGAAAAGAAGACTTCATTCTGAAGCATTTACTGTACTTTTCTTTGTTAGAAACAAGGACATTTTCTCTGTGATGAACTTGTTCCAACGACAGAAAATAAATGACTTCCTCAGCTAGAATACAGGTCTTCTGCAAGTCCTAACTGTGATGACTGTCTTGGGTTTGCTTGTTTGTTTTTGTTTGTTTTCTGAGGCAAGGTCTTGACATGTAGCTCAAGCTAGCATCGAACTTTCAATGCTCCTGCCTCAGTCTCTGAAGTAGCTGGGATTACAAGTGTACAACATCTCACCTAACTTAGTAACAGTCTTAATTTCATAATAACTATCACTAAGATGTTGGTTTGGGTCATTTTGCACCTGAGTTAGTTCTGTTACCCATGTTATTTTCGTCTGCATCATTTTCATCATCATTGTCCATTGCATATTTCAGATCTGTCACTGTCACCACACCCTGTACATCCTGTTCCATGAGGGGTCCTGAAAAACTCCAATAACAATTCCTTCATCCTGGCCTTGCCTGATGACAGGCTCTGGAGAGGGTCCACATCACTCAGCTCCTCACAGGATATTTGCAGCTGCTGTGGCCCCCATCACACCCAAGGTACACACCCAACTGTACTCTCCCGAGAACTCGATGGCAACCATTCGGCTTCAACAGCATGCCGTGGAGAATTCTGAAGCCTAGATTTGTATGTGTATTTGTCCTTTGGAATCCCTAGACTCAAATAGTCTTTCCCTGACTTATTTCATCCTTTTTGTTGGGATTTAATGGCAAGTTCAATGTCACTAAAAGCAAAGGTGCTTTGCGGCCAAAAAGTTCAAAGACAAGAGGGACCTGCATCCCAGAACATCTCATAAGAAAATTGGAGAATGATAAGAAGAGGAAGAAAGGACAAGGCTTCCCACATTAGAGGATCATTTGCTTGATTATTCTAACACATAGATACATGCCATCAGGAGGAGGCAAGTTTTAGGTAGAAACCAAACTTGAAGACTTAGAGTATGATTTTTATAACTCTCAACGTCTAAACTAGTCTCATGTGTTATTCTATACAATGGGACTTCACTAAGAATTCTGCAGGTGGGAATTTATTTTACAACTTGATCTTTCTCATTTGAAATATTTCAGTGTGAAAAGGTGAGGAAGAGAACTGTAATAATGCTCACTCCAGCATCCACTTCTAATAATTACATGTGCATGTACCCTGGCTTTTCTAGGAAAATAGTAAGAACATAGCAGTAGAATTATCAGGGAAAAAAATGTGAATTTCATTGTCCCAAATGACCTACCTATACTGGGAACAGCTGCAATGGAGATGGTAAATAATGATATGCAAAAGAGATAACTTAGCAGAGACTGTAACGATAGAAATAATTGTCACATGTAATCACAAAAACAATACCTTTCAAAGTTATTTTTTCTTTCTTTGCTTCATTTTTTTCCCCTCTGAGATGAGGTCTGATTGTGTAGTCCAGATTGGCCTTGAATTCAGAATCCTCCTGAGTGCTGAGGTTACAGCTGTGTATCATTGCACCTAAATGACCTTCCCTCCGAAGGCAGAAAAATCTGTGGTAACCAATGAATAATAAGCATAGACATAAAAAACTGAACTATTTTTTTTTTAAAAATGACATTATAAATTCAAGTGATTATTAAGTATACTGATACCTTTTATTCTCATTAGAAATCTGATGGACAGTAAAAGAACATGAGGCATCTTCACGGCCTGGTCCTTCTAATTATCTAATGATTTAAAAAAAACCACACAAAATGATAGAATCAAATGAATAAATTCTGCAGCACAAGCAGGCTCTGTAGGGAATACCTGCAGACCGTGTGGAAAGGTTTCCCCTTCAATTAAACTTACGTGGGGACAAACTACTTTTTCTCAGGGGGGACCAGAGGCTGCGCCATGGGGACGTGAGGAATCCTCTATCCACAGCCCAGTAGTGACCCAACGCATTTGTCAACCTTAGAACACAGCCGCTCCGGCTCATCGTCCTCTCGTCTGCTTGACTTCCCGCCTGCTCCCCTCCCAACACCGCCACACGCTCCACATTGCAGCAATTTTTAATGGCTTTGGTCTCACCATGTCCATCAAAGCACTCCATCGTTCAGATCTGGAAAGTTGCTTTGGTCTTCACATTATCATAATCATTCAGCGTCCTCCATCCGTTTATTCAGTCATTCTGCATTTGAGTTATATTAGTATCACGTGGCAGCTAGTACTACGTTAGGCTAGGATGCACAGGGAAAAAGAGAATATAACCTCCGTCTTCTCTAGCCTTCTCTTCTAGGCAGGAAGGAAGGAAGAACATAGGATGTTAGAAATGGGGATGCACTTGGAGGGGGAGGAGCTTATGCTGAGGACAGAAGAAGCCACGTGGATTAGGCTGAAGGGAGCTGTGCTGTGGATATCGCTCTATATAAATAAAACACTGACTGGCCAATGGCCAGACAGGAAGTATAGGTGGGACTAACAGAGAGGAGAATTGAGGAAACAGGAAGGGAAGAGAGACCTGCCAGCTGCTGCCATGACGAGCAAGATGTAAGGTACTGGTAAGCCACGGGCCACATGGCAACTTATAGATTAATAAAAATGGGTTAATTTAAGATAAAAGAACTAGATAGCTAGAAGCCTGAGCCATTAGGCCAAACTGTTTAAATAATATGAGTCTGTGTGTTTATTTTATAAGTGGGCTCCGGGACTGGCGGGGTTGGCAGGAGCTGGAGAGAAATTCTCCAGCTATAGGGCTGGGTAAGACCACATTCTAAGGGATCCAAAGTGAATGAGAAAACACATTCCAGGGGTGTGTACACAAAACGAGCCAATGGCACACCCCATCGCATACCAAAAACAAAAACAGATAAAAAGATTCCCCTTTTCCTCTGTAAACCGTGACTGGCTCATTCAGTTGTTCAACAAGATCTTGGACAACACCTTCAAGTCCTTCAATGTTCTCACCACCACCCTCCACCACCCCCACCACCATCCCCTCTCTCCCCCAAGTAATCCAGGGACGCAGCTGCCAGCTTTGCGTTGGTATCCAGCATTCATTATCTTCTTGCTGCATTCAAACATAGGAGCACCCATACTTCTCGCCTTCCTGAAACACATTTCCCAGGATAGCTGAGTAAGTATTTTTCTTCTGGAGTCTCTGTTTGAATGTCACCAGAATATGTAAGAAACTTCAAATCCCCCCCACCCCCCCCCACCCCCGCAACACTATCTTAAGCAATAGATCTTAATAGCTTTCTAAACAAGGCATAGAAATGGACAACACCCTTATTAAAATATCAGACATCACTGATAAACAGGGAGATGCAAATCAAAACAAAATATGCCCTTATTCCAATAAGAATGTCTATTATTAAAAACACAAAAGATAACAAGTGCTGCTGAGGACATGGAGAACAAGGGGCCCTTGCACACTGTGGGTGCTAGCGTAACTTAGTACAACTATTACTGAAAACAGTTTGAAAAGGGGTATTGTTGTAGAGTATTACTTTAAGGTGTGTTACTTTTGTTTATGCTGCATTTGTTTAACTCTGTTACTGTGCCTGTGTAAAACACCTGATGGTCTAGTAAAGAACTGGCCAATAGCAAGACAGAAGAAAGGAAAGGCAGGGCTGGCAGGCAGAGAGGATCTATAGAGGGAGAAATCTGGGAGGAGGAAAAAAAAAGAGAGATGGAGAAGGAACCAGAGGAAGGGAGGACATCAGGGGCCAGCCACCCAGCTACACAACCAGGAAGCCACGGAGTAAGAGTAAGATTTACAGAAGTAAGAGAATGGGAAAAGTCCAGAGGCAAAAGGTAGACGGGATTATTTAAGTTAAGGAAAGCTGGTTAGAAACTAAGCCGAACAAATGCCAGGTAGTCATAAGTTTAAAAAAAAAAAGAGCCAAAAAACAAACAACAACAGGGTGTCAAAAACTAAAAAGGAGCAAAGGGTCCAGCCATTCTCCATCTGCTTATGTATAACAAAGGAAATGAAATCAGTATGTTGAAAAGATAACCGTTCTTGCACATCTGTAGCAACACTGTCACAAAAGCCAAGAAATAAAGATAATGTGAATGTTCCTCAACCAATGAACAAAGAAAGCAGGGTACATATACATGCCCCCAAATAAATGAAATCCCATCATTTCTGACCACAGGATATAAAATTGGAGTTCATTATGTTAAGTGAAATAAGCCAGGCTCAGAAAGACAAATGTCAAATCTCACTTATCTGTGAAATCTAAAAGCAGGAATCTTACAAATGCTCGCAGCAGAGAGGCTGAGGGAGTAGAAGGAGAAATAAGTGGAGAGAGATTGATTTGTGGCTAGTACTTTATGAGTAGATAAAGGTGAGAAGTTCTGGTGTGCGATTGTACAGTAAAGGGACTATTGACAATGGTGATGTACTGTATTTTTTTTTTAAGAAGACTAGAAGACTTTGAATGTTTTTACCATAACAAAATAATAAATGAGGTTTAAACATTAAACATTACATAGGTGTTAAAACATCACACAAGCCGGGTGGTGGTGGTGGTGGTGGTGGTGGTGGTGGTGGTGGTGGTGGTGCACGCCTTTAATCCCAGTACTCGGGAGGCAGAGTCAGGCGGATCTCTGTGAGTTCCAGGCCAGCCTGGACTACCAAGTGAGTTCCAGGAAAGGCGCAAAGCTACACAAAGAAACCCTGTCTTGAAAAACCAAAAAAAAAAAAAAAAAAAAAAAACACAATGTCCCATAAATATGCACAGTTCTATGTTTTAAATATCAGTTGAAGCAATTTTAAATTCAATCAAATAAATAAATGTCCTTTTCTCAGGAAAGATTCCCCCAGACACTCCCCCCAGTCAATTAGTGGCCCATAACCCACCACTTCACTCCCTACTCCTGTTAACATACTCTATTCCACATCTCTGAACACATCTTGACATGCCGTATACTTGGAATGTCTGCCTTCACTTTTCTCCAATGCAAATCCCATACAACAGGGGCTTTGTGTGTGTGTATCACTTCACTTGATTGTCTAACACAAAGCAGGTGTGTAGCAGACATTCTATACTTAACTAATCAATTAATTAAAAAAGTTAGAGCACAGCTTCTGTTCAGGCAGAGGCTTAAAAAGTAAGAATAGGAAAGGTAAGTAAAGCTATCCTTGCGGTGGCAAAGACTAGCTAGCTCTTTTACTATTATTACATTGAAGCTTTAAAAATCCCCTCCTTCTCTTCTTTGCTCCACCCAAACATATAATAATATTCTTTTCTATGATCTATGATGGATTATAATCTTTAGTGGTTTTACATACAACTCTTCAGTGCATTTTTAGATGTATTTTGATATGTGGACTAAGGTGAGAATCTGTACTGTTCCTAAATTTTTAATCAAGTGAACTCAGTTTCTAGAATGTTTTTTCTCTGTGCCAAAGACCCAAACCTGGGACTCAATGTCATGAAGCTAGTGCCCCAGCCCTTGTTTGAGACAGGGTCTAGCTAAGTGGCTCAGCTTGGCCTTGAATTTACCCTTGGACCTCTCCATCCTCCTGCCTCAGACTCCAAGTAATTGGGATTACAGACCTGCTGTACCAGGCCTGGCCTGTTAATTCTATTTTCAGTTCTCAAATGTATTGTTGAATGATCTCTTCTGCTCTATTGACCCTGTGGCCTCTTTGATTCCAACAGTGAGTAATTCAATTACATAAAATCTTTTGAATCTTTAGGTTCAAAACTCATTAAGCAAGCAAAGTTGAACATATTTGCAGTAAATATGAGTTTAACTCCTTCAGCAAATCAAGCTTTTGCTTTTTAGTCCCAAATATATTAGTGATCAGAGCAAATGAAAATGGTGGACAGACAGACGTTAGGAGGAAATGCTCAGCTTCTCCCAGAATTGCAGAAATGATCTGACCTATGACCTACAAAATCAGAGGAAAGACATCAGCACAGCCGGGTGGGAAGGATGGAGTTACTGATGTGTGAATGGCACATATCTGAAACAACTCATGCATGGAAATACTCCCATTCACTGATGACTCTAACTTCTTAACATTTTTTGTTGTTGTTTTTTTTGTTTGTTTGTTTTTTCGAGACAGGGTTTCTTTGTGTAGCTTTGCGCCTTTCCTGGAACTTGCTTTGGAGACCAGGCTGGCCTCCAACTCACAGAGATCCGCCTGCCTCTGCCTCCCGAGTGCTGGGATTAAAGGCGTGCACCACCACCACCCGGCGACTTCCTAACATTTTTATGTTAAGAAGTTATTTTATTTTATTATAATTATGTTATGTTGTTATTATTCTTTAGATGCCTGTTCGTTTTCTAAGGAGAGACAGAAAGAGTGTGGATTTGGATGGGAGGGGAGGTGGGGAGGATCTGGGAAGAGCTGGGAGAGTAGAAACTGTAATCATAATATATTGTACAAAAAAAACTTCTTTTAATAAAAGAAAAATAGATAAAAAGGAAAAGCAAACAAAAACCTCCTAAGGAGAACATTCTAATAGACAAAAGGAGGATTGAAGAAGTTCTTTGAAGATTTGTTTCTTGTTTCTTGTTTTGTTTTTCTGCTGTCTACTTAAATCATTGTTCTTTTCAAAGCGACTCCGGAAACATCTCAAAAGCATAACTAAGAACACTGATTGTTCTCTGGTATATCCACTTAGTGAAATCTTATATAGAATATACAATACCAGAATGGAGTGGAAATTAAAGGTGTAAATTATGTGTAAAAAGACTAAAAGGGGCCAGCACTTGGGAGGCAGAAGCAGGTGGATCTCTGTGAGTTCGAGGCCAGCCTGGTCTCCAGAGCGAGTTCCAGGATAGCCAAGGCTATCCTGTATCAAGACAGAGAACCCCTGTCTTGAAAAAAAAAGGAGTTTTGTAAAAGCAGTAGCAGCAGGGGTGTTCAGGTGGTCACAAAACAACATGTGTTTTGTACTTTTTTTTTCTGTTTTCTATTGTCAAATTTTCCTTAATGCACAGGAGTACTTTTTATTTTGCTGAAACAAACCCCAAAGTTAAACAAAGACACCCATTACATTACCTACTAGGCCAGCATGCTGAGGCCCGGGTAGAGAGAAAGAACTCCAGGCTGAGAGGGGGTCCAGGAACTCCCTTCTCCCCGGACACAGCTCTCCCTTTGAGAAGCAAGCACAGCTCTGAGGAAGAAGCCATTTAGGAATGAAAGAATTGGGAACAGCTGGGCCAGAGTCAGAACCATGACAGGCATCCCCCTTCAAAGGCAGCTCTGAGGTTAGGAAGGTGATGGAGAGTTCAGAGCTGAGTCTGAGCTCACAAATGCGTGGATTAAGCTGGGAATGGGCAGGGGGCATCTCAGGGCACCAGTTCAGAGTGAGAAGAGAGGAAGAAAGGGAGCCCCCTGGTACCTGTGGTCTAATCCACAGCTGAGAACAAGCTGAAGATGAACAGTCAGACCCTGCAAGGGTGATGGGAAGAAACTGATGACAAGGGAGAGCATTTTGAACTGAAATCTTGCTGAGTTTCAATCGTTTGTTCTGAAGTTTACATGTTGTGATTTAGCAGTGTTGTTTTTTAATGATTATGATTGAATTTTATATAATGTAAGGTCTTGAGGGTTTTTTTTGTTTTGTTTTTTTGTTTTGGAGCCATATAAGAATACAAAAGGAAGCACAAGGCGGGGTGCTGAGGGTGCTGCAGGATGGAGGAACAGCTGGGGTTGGAGAGGGGGCCCGGTGCAGCATCACAGCTGTGTTCAAGGTGTACACTCTGTATTTGAGGATAAGGGAGTGCTTTTCAACTTGGCTTGGTACAGAGGTTAGGCATATTGACCCAAGAGTGTCACATGAGGAAAATTAAGTTTCACGAAAATAACTGCAGGGTGTATGAGGAAGGAGCATGACGGAGGGATGATGGCCATCAGACAGGTTGGCCAACAGGCAGACAGTCTTGTCTGTGAGGGAAAAGGGACAGACGGAGTTCTGAACGTGA